AGGGCCAGTTGTTTTGGATGTCATGATTAGGGCCAGATGTTTTGGATGTCATGATTAGGGCCAGATGTTTTGGATGTCATGATTAGGGCCAGATGTTTTGGATGTCATGATTAGGGCCAGTTGTTTTTTGTGGGGATTTTCCTTGACCGCTATATCCAGCATTATCCACTAGGTTTGCTGCAGGTCGAAGATTATAGGAAATGTTCTTTAATTGACACAAGCTGTCTCCAATCAATCAATGTCTGGTTGTACGTGAGTGTTTTGGTGGGGGGATCGCCTAAAGCAGGGGTCTTCAACTCTGACCCTACGAGGTCCGGAGCCTGCTGGTTTTCTGTTCTACCTGATGAGTAATTGCTCCCACCTGGTGTCCCAGGTCTAAATCAGTCCCTGATTAGAGGAGGAACAATGAAAATACGCAGTGGAACTGGCTTCGAGGTCCAGAGTTGAATTAGAGGGGCCCGAAACTTACCGTATGCTTCCCAGTCGAAACAGTTTGCTCATACACTGAACAAAGATATAAACGCAACATGTAAAGTTTTGGTCCCAGGTTTCATGAGCTGACATAAAAGATCCCAGAAATGTTCCATACGCACAAAAAGGTTATTTCTCTCAAATGTTCTGCACAAATGTGTTTACATCCCTGTTAGTGAGCATTTCTCCTTTGCCAAGATAATCATTACACAGGTGCACCTTGTGCTGGGGACAATAAAAGGCCACTGTAAAATGTGCAATTTTGTCACACAACACAATGCCACAGATGTCTCAAGTTTTGAGGGAGCGTGCAATTGGCATTCTGACTGCAGGAATGTCCACCAGAGCTGTTGGCAGAGAATTGAATGTTAATTTCTCTACCGTAAGCTTTAGAGAATTTGGCAGTACGTCCAACCACCCTCACAACTGCAGACCATGTGTATGGCGTTGTGTGGGCGAGCGATTTGCTGGCGTCAACGTTGTGGACAGAGTGCCCCATGGTCTGGCGTCAACGTTGTGAACAGAGTGCCCCATGGTGGTGGTGGTGGGGTTATGGTATGGGCCAGTGGCGGTCGATACAGTTTAAGATGAGGTAGGACACCTTTTAATTTTCATGAGCATGGCCTTATTTCTATTACAGCATATTGGATGACTGTCATTCATATTCCATCCACCCAGTTCAATGTAACATTGATAGGTTTAGGATAATACGTAATACTCACATGTTCCCTATACTCATCATGAGGTTGCTACAACCTAGCCTATGAATTAAAGTTTACAACGTAGGTGCACAGGTCGAGAGAAACATTTGAGGTGACAGACAGTTGCACACTCTGGCCTGCATCTAGCTGATCTAGGGTGTAATCATTAGTCCAACAGTTGCAAATGTGTTTTAAACAAATATTCTCATTCATAAAGAAAGGAGGATCAAGGCTTCTTCATATAATTCATTAAAATGCCTTTATTTGCATGTTCAATAGAAACAACGTTTTAAAAACACTTGATAATACAATCAAACCTGATTTAGAAGAGGGAGTGGGTACAGAATTCATTGGACAACACCTAGTAAGCAATACTATATCCATTAAAAAGGGAAAGTACCCGGAAAGGTCGTTCTAATCTTGAACATGGCAAAGTGTTAAGAACAGGAGAGCCATCCATTCTATAGGACACTAGATCACAGCAAACATGGACCAGGTGTTATGAACAGGAGAGCCATCCATTCTATAGGACACTAGATCACAGCAAACATGGACCAGGTGTTATGAACAGGAGAGCCATCCATTCTATAGGACACTAGATCACAGCAAACATGGACCAGGTGTTATGAACAGGAGAGCCATCCATTCTATAGGACACTAGATCACAGCAAACATGGACCAAAACAATCCAAACATAGCTGAGGGCAACAGAGCAAAAAGAGGAAAACATCCACTAGATACCAGCAAAGGCACCTCTCACCACCCTACAGGAAAGGTGGGAAATCCATATCTTCATTTAAACCAGGGTTAGGGTTAGGGTTAGTGGCCTGTAGTTTGTAAATCCCAAAACCTTCCCTTTGGTTTAGCTGTTGAAGACGGACCCCATTTCTAACTGAGGCCGGAACATGATCAATACCCTTAGCTTGTAGGGAGGCAGGGTTGCCATGGTGTAAGGACTTGTAGTGTTTTGGCAGGGTTGCCATGGTGTAATGACTTGTGGTGTCTTGGCAGGGTTGCCATGGTGTAATGACTTGTAGTGCTTTGGCAGGGTTGCCATGGTGTAATGACTTGTGGTGTCTTGGCAGGGTTGCCATGGTGTAATGACTTGTGGTGTCTTGGCAGGGTTGCCATGGTGTAATGACTTGTAGTGCTTTGGCAGGGTCACCATGGTGTAATGACTTGTAGTGCTTTGGCAGGGTTGCCATGGTGTAATGACTTGTAGTGCTTTGGCAGGGTTGCCATGGTGTAATGACTTGTGGTGTCTTGGCAGGGTTGCCATGGTGTAAGGACTTGTAGTGCTTTGGCAGGGTCACCATGGTGTAATGACTTGTAGTGCTTTGGCAGGGTTGCCATGGTGTAATGACTTGTAGTGCTTTGGCAGGGTTGCCATGGTGTAATGACTTGTAGTGCTTTGGCAGGGTTGCCATGGTGTAAGGACTTGTAGTGCTTTGGCAGGGTCACCATGGTGTAATGACTTGTAGTGTCTTGGCAGGGTTGCCATGGTGTAATGACTTGTAGTGTCTTGGCAGGGTTGCCATGGTGTAATGACTTGTAGTGCTTTGGCAGGGTTGCCATGGTGTAATGACTTGTGGTGTCTTGGCAGGGTTGCCATGGTGTAATGACTTGTAGTGTCTTGGCAGGGTTGCCATGGTGTAATGACTTGTAGTGTCTTGGCAGGGTTGCCATGGTGTAATGACTTGTAGTGCTTTGGCAGGGTTGCCATGGTGTAATGACTTGTAGTGCTTTGGCAGGGTTGCCATGGTGTAATGACTTGTGGTGTCTTGGCAGGGTTGCCATGGTGTAATGACTTGTGGTGTCTTGGCAGGGTTGCCATGGTGTAATGACTTGTAGTGCTTTGGCAGGGTTGCCATGGTGTAATGACTTGTAGTGCTTTGGCAGGGTTGCCATGGTGTAATGACTTGTGGTGTCTTGGCAGGGTTGCCATGGTGTAATGACTTGTGGTGTCTTGGCAGGGTTGCCATGGTGTAATGACTTGTAGTGCTTTGGCAGGGTTGCCATGGTGTAATGACTTGTGGTGTCTTGGCAGGGTTGCCATGGTGTAATGACTTGTAGTGTCTTGGCAGGGTTGCCATGGTGTAATGACTTGTAGTGCTTTGGCAGGGTTGCCATGGTGTAATGACTTGTAGTGTCTTGGCAGGGTTGCCATGGTGTAATGACTTGTAGTGTCTTGGCAGGGTTGCCATGGTGTAATGACTTGTAGTGTCTTGGCAGGGTTGCCATGGTGTAATGACTTGTAGTGCTTTGGCAGGGTTGCCATGGTGTAATGACTTGTAGTGTCTTGGCAGGGTTGCCATGGTGTAATGACTTGTAGTGCTTTGGCAGGGTTGCCATGGTGTAATGACTTGTAGTGCTTTGGCAGGGTTGCCATGGTGTAATGACTTGTAGTGTTTTGGCAGGGTTGCCATGGTGTAATGACTTGTAGTGTCTTGGCAGGGTTGCCATGGTGTAATGACTTGTAGTGTCTTGGCAGGGTTGCCATGGTGTAATGACTTGTAGTGTCTTGGCAGGGTTGCCATGGTGTAATGACTTGTAGTGTCTTGGCAGGGTTGCCATGGTGTAATGACTTGTAGTGTCTTGGCAGGGTTGCCATGGTGTAATGACTTGTAGTGTCTTGGCAGGGTTGCCATGGTGTAATGACTTGTAGTGTCTTGGCAGGGTTGCCATGGTGTAATGACTTGTAGTGTCTTGGCAGGGTTGCCATGGTGTAATGACTTGTAGTGCTTTGGCAGGGTTGCCATGGTGTAATGACTTGTAGTGCTTTGGCAGGGTTGCCATGGTGTAATGACTTGTGGTGTCTTGGCAGGGTTGCCATGGTGTAATGACTTGTAGTGTCTTGGCAGGGTTGCCATGGTGTAATGACTTGTGGTGTCTTGGCAGGGTTGCCATGGTGTAATGACTTGTAGTGTCTTGGCAGGGTTGCCATGGTGTAATGACTTGTGGTGGTCTTGGCAGGGTTGCCATGGTGTAATGACTTGTAGTGTCTTGGCAGGGTTGCCATGGTGTAAGGACTTGTAGTGCCTTGGCAGGGTTGCCATGGTGTAATGCCTTGTGGTGTCTTGGCAGGGTTGCCATGGTGTAATGACTTGTGGTGTCTTGGCAGGGTTGCCATGGTGTAATGACTTGTAGTGTCTTGGCAGGGTTGCCATGGTGTAATGACTTGTGGTGTCTTGGCAGGGTTGCCATGGTGTAATGACTTGTAGTGTTTTGGCAGGGTTGCCATGGTGTAATGACTTGTAGTGTCTTGGCAGGGTTGCCATGGTGTAGTGCCTTGCTATGGGGTAGTCTTCTTTGCCTACCCGTATGGGGTACTTGTGTTCCGCTAAGCGGTCTTGAAGGCCTGTCTTTGTCCGTCCAATGTAGAACACCTTGCACTGTGGACGTTCCAATCTGTAGATGACATGAGTGGTTTTGCAGTTAATTAAATGCTTGACTTGATACTCCATTTTTAGAAGCTGTGTCAACAAAAAACTTTTTCAGTGCAATATTTCTGCAACGGTTGCTCTGGTTGCGTTTAAAAGAGCCCTTGGGTTTGTGGTCTAGCCAAGGGTTTTGAGAGTCACCAGGAAGATAACTGTGGACTCATTTGTCATTTAGGGTTGGACATCTCTTAAAGCTCATGACTGGAGGCTCTGGGAAGACCTGGCTTAGTAGTGTATCACTTTGGATGATTCCCCAATTATTTTTAATGAATATTTTAATGTTCTCTGCTTCAGTGCTGTATTTTGTAACAAAGTACAATATTCTCATTCATCATATTCTTAGGAGGAAATCCAGGCCAAGAAGGACTTTATTTGTAACGGAGTTGCGATGCAACTCCTGCTGGACTATGTGCAGAAGAGAATGAACTGGCCAGAAGAGTTGATATCAGCCCTGGAGGCGTTGGAGCATCAGGACCTGGCTGATGAACTGAGGGCAGAGTGGAACAAGCACAACCAGAACAGTACGTCACCATCAAATCAAATCAAACTTTATTTAAAGTTTAAAAACAGACTTTACAGTGGAACCTCATTGGACAATAGGACCTTTGTTTGTGACTCAGTTCAATATTGTGTATATGACAAGAGGGGAAAAGTAGTTATTTTTGTTGGTATTGTTCAACCCCTTCGGAGCTTGGTTCCTCTCTAGGTTTCTTCCTAGGTTCCTGCCTTTCTAGGGAGTTTTTCCTAGCCACCGTGCTTCTACATCTGCATTGCTTGCTGTTTTGGGGTTTTAGGCTGGGTTTCTGTATAGCACTTAGTGACATCTGCTGATGTAAAAAGGGCTTTATGAAATGCATTTGATTGATTGAATGCTGTATATGGCTGGACTACTTTATTCATCCAAGGACAATGTATTTTCCACCTGGTTCACCTTTTACAATCAATCTAAAACAGAACATGGAGGGTAAATCTGTTGGGGATGTTGGGGATGTTGGGGATGTTGGGGATGTTGGGGATGTTGGGGATGTTGGGGATGTGCCTTTATTCTTAAATGCATCAACTCATTTCCTTTTTAAAGTCTGCTCTTGGTTCCCCAGATCCTTCTCCTGCTGCCACCACTGTAGTCAGGGCCCATGTCCATCCAGCTCCTCCTACCAGCCCGTCTCTGCCCATCTCAGAGAGCTCCGATGACCCTACATCTTCTCTGGTTCTCCCAGCTCGGCCAGCACCACCTCCAGAGTCACCCGGCCCTGAGATTGCTGCCCGTCCGGAGGACGGTGCCCAGCCAGTAGCCCCCACAAGCTCAGTTGCTGAGGCTCCCATCGCTGGCACCTCCCCAGAGCCAGCCTCACAGGCTCCCGAAGCAGTAGTGAGCCCTGTCTCAGCCCCCCAGGCAGCACCTTCCCCTGTCTCAGCCCCCCAGGCAGCACCTTCCCCTGTCTCAGCACCTTCCCCGTCCAGCGGAGGAGGAGCCCACAGTGGTCTCTGAACCAGAGCCTCCGGTCTCTCACTCTGATAACGCTGCCTCGTCCCAGCCTGGTCCTGTAGAAACTGGATCTCTGGAGGATAACCCATCTCATATAGTCCAGTCTGAAACCGCTCTCACCTTGCCTGTGTCAGACCTAAACCCAGCCCTGTCCCAAACTGAATACACCCCCACCGCTGCTGCCCCCGCCTTGGTCCAGGCCCCTGAGAGACGTCCGGTTCAGGACACCACCCCACCAACAGCTAAAGTGACCACCTTCCACCAGAAGCCAGTAGAGGACTCTGATCCAACTGCAACTCAGGTAAATAGTATTTCATGTGAGATGTTACATGTTTGCTGACTAGATAGAGTTAAACTGAATTTATCTTGCTAATGAAATGAAATCTGTTGATCACATCTACATTTTTGAAATGTCAGTGATGAGAAGCATGAACTAAAAGCGACTTCTCCTCCAGGTGACTGAAGATGACCAGAGCCGCCCGGCCACGGCCCCGGCCCCGGTGGATACCACCCCCGGGCAGGTCTGCCCCTCCATGGGTGAGGAGAACTGGGAGCTCAGCAAGCCTGAAGTCCTCCTCAGTGAGAACCAGCCATATTCAGGGGGCTCATGGCGTCTGCAGATGGATAGCGGGTCAGTGTCTGGCCCAGAACCTGAGCTTGCTGCTGTAACTGCTTCTACCACGCCTGTGACCAGTCCTGATGTGGTCCCAGAACCCGCCCCAGAGCCCTTGTCTAGTGTTCCAGGTGCAAGGCCTCTGCCGTGTCAGGAGAACGGAGTCCCCGAGGAGCTAGAGGAACCCCTGTCCCACAACGAGCCTGAGGAGAACACGTACCATTCCCCCTGTCTGAGCTCCCTGGGGGACCAGGAGGTGCTGGTCAATGTAGTTCATGTGTCTGAGGACGCGTCCATCCAGAACAACGACAGCCAGACTCCCCGAGCATGCTGGGTAATGTAGACCACGTGTCCGAGGAGGACCCGTCCCTCCAGAATCAGGAAGGCCAAACGCAAAGAATGCTGGGTAATAATGATATGAGTGTGTCTGAAACCCCCCCACCAGTTCAGAACCACAACAGCCAATCCCAGATCACACCTCTCTCTGGCTCCACAGACCTTGACCTGTCGTCTGGTCCAAATCAGGACGGCCAAACTGAGGACGGTCTGGGGAAAGCACTTAGTAAGTCTGAAGAATCTCAGGGTCTGATTATGATTGTTAACGACCAAGACACCAGCCCCTCAACCAAACAGCCTGATCCTCCTCCTCCTCCAGCCATTTCTCCTTCTGTCACCGTCGTCAACGGCTCCTCCACTGATAACTGTCATCTCCCGGAGGCTGTGGAGGCAGAGGTCATGCTCAAGGCCATGATGGCTAGCGCTATCCCTGAACTGAAGCAGAAACAGGAGGAGGAGGGAGCCAGACGGGGAGGGGGCTACTTCCTCCTGTGGACTGCTGCCCTGGGCGTCTCAGCCCTGGTCGTGGCCTGGAGGATGAAGAATTAAGGGTTTAGGAAAGAAGGAGGTTGTCTCTCAATTTGTCTTTCCGTGATTCCTTGCGTTCCTTCTCCTTGCCTCCTTATTGGAAGAGTCGCTCTCCTCTGATTTTCTTGTGAGATTTGAGAAGGAGGTGAGAAGAGAGGATGTCAAAGAAAGATGAATTGCGAAAGAGCTGAATTGCTGTGAAAAGAAGGGAAGATTGTGGTTCAAGATTTTAAGATATTATTATGCTTTATTTATTGTGTTGATAGTAGTGAAGGTGCCAAAATGAATTATTTATAGGTGACCAATAGCAGCGCTTATCCAGGACTTTGATCGACAGTCTAAATCAGGGGCTGGCAAACCTGGTCATGGAGTGCAGCATGAAGACCAGGTGTGTTGAATTTAGGCTGAACCTGATCCATTAGCTCAGTTGGTCAGGTGTGGTGCCTAGTTGGAACAATATCCTGCAGGAACAGGGTCTCCTACCCCCTGGTCTAAATCAATGAGTCATTAGTAGCATGATATAGTATGTCTCTATCCAAGTTGAGGTACCTTTCCCTGTCATGATGACTTACAGCAACACAGATTGTTATTAGTAGACCATATACTTACAGGTCCGTTTTCCCGGACACAGATTAACCTGAACTATAGGACTATGATTAATCTGAACTATAGGACTATGATTAACCTGAACTATAGGACTATGATTAATCTGAACTATAGGACTATGATTAATCTGTGTCCAGGAAACCTGCCCATACTAGTGTATATTGTGTACTCTTAAAGAACACGTTCACTATGATCTCAAGTCCTTCATTCTGATCTCAGGCCCTATCTATCCTTACTGTAAATATATATTCACTAGGATCTCAGGCCCTATCTATCCTTACTGTAAATATATATTCACTAGGATCTCAGGCCCTATCTATCCTTACTGTAAATATATATTCACTAGGATCTCAGGCCCTATCTATCCTTACTGTAAATATATATTCACTAGGATCTCAGGCCCTATCTATGCTGACTGTAAATATATGTTCACTTGACGATACGTACATGTACTATTTTTTTTATACTGAATGTTATCAGATCTTCAACCAAAACCTAATATTAGATCAAGGGAACCTGAGTTTACAAATAACACCAAAAATATATATATATACTTTATTTTTATTTTGTATTAACAAAGTCACGCAACACACAATGTCCTTGTGTGAAAAAGTAATTGCCCCCTTAAACTCAATAACTGGTTGTGCCACCTTTAGCTGCAATGACTCCAACCAAACGCTTCCTGTAGTTGTTGATCAGTCTCTCATGTCACTATTGAGGAATGTTGGCCCACTCGTCCATGCAGAACTGCTTTAACTCAGCAACATTTGTGGGTTTTCAAGCATGAACTGCTCATTTCAAGTCCTGCCACAACATCTCAATTGGGATTAGGTCTGGACTTTGACTAGGCCATTCCAAAACTTCAAATGTGTTGCTTTTTAGCAATTTTCATGTAGACTTGATTGTGTGTTTTGGATCATTGTCTTGCTGCATGATCATCAAGCTGCGCTTCAGCTTCAGCTCACAAGACGGATGGTCTGACATTTTCCTGTACATTTACATTTTAGTCATTTAGCAGACGCTCTTATCCAGAGCGACTTACAGGAGCAATTAGGGTTAAGTGCCTTGCTCAAGGGCACATTTACGTCATTTAGCAGACGCTCTTATCCAGAGCGACTCACAAATTGGTGCATTCACCCTATAGCCAGTGGGATAACCACTTTACAAATTTTTTTTGGGGGGGGGGGGGGGGGGGGGTAGAAGGATTACTTTATCCTATCCCAGGTATTCCTTAAAGAGGTGGGGTTTCAAATGTCTCCGGAAGGTAGAATTCTCTGATGCAGAGCAGAATTCATGGTTCCTTCTATTAAGGCAAGTCGTCCAGGTCCTGAGGCAGCAAAGCATCCCCAAACCATCACACCACCACCACCATGCTTGACCGTTGGTATGAGGTTCTTACTGTGGAAGGCAGTGTTTTGTTTTCGCCAGACATAATGGGACCCATCTCGTCCAAAAAAGTTGACTCAAGTTTGCCAAAAAGCACCTGGATGATCATCAAGACTCTTGGTAGAATGTTCTATGGACAGATGACTCAAAGTATAACACTGCCTTCCACAGTAAGAACCTCAACCCAACGGTCAAGCATGGTGGTGGTAGTGTGGTATGTGAAGCATGGTGGTGATGGTGTGGTATGTCAAGCATGGTGGTGGTGGTGTGGTATGTGAAACGCCCTATGTGTGGCCATGCTGCACATCCTAGTGAGAGGAATACCATGAAATCAACTGCATACCGTGCCTTCAGAAAGTATTCATACCCCTTGACTTATTCCACATTTTCTTGTGTGACAGCCTGAAAATGTGCTAACATTTCTAAAAACATGTTTTCAATTTGTCATTATGGGGTATTATGTGTTGATGTGTAATAAGTCAAGGGGTATGAATACTTTCTGAAGGCTTGTAATTAAACTCATTATATTTTGTTATGCAGAGACACATGATGTAAATGTTGGGGTCTTTCTCATTATGGGGTACATACCAGTTGGATTTGTACATATGCTTTGTTATAGGATTTAGTGAACCTTCTAGATGGACTGTCTGTAAACCTTATAATGTAAACCTCATCTATAGGATCTTCTCTCCAGAGGTGTTTTAACCTTCTGTAGGCTATACATGTTCCCTGTGTACATCTGTAATGGACAATCAATACAATTCTGCTGCTCACACATGATTATTTCAATTCGAAGAGCTTTATTGGCATGGGAAACATATGTTTACATTTCCAAAGCAAGTGAAATAGACAATAAACAAAAAATGAACAGTAAACATTACACTCCCAAAAGTTCCAATGGAATAGAGACATTTCAAATGTCATTGTCTATATGCAGTGTTATAATGATGTGCAAATAGTTAAAGTACAAAAGGGAAAATAAATAAACATAAATATGGGTTGCATTTACAATGGTGTTTGTTCTTCACTGGTTGCCCTTTTTTTGTGGCAACAAGGTCTGAAATCTTGCTGCTGTGATATGTCACCCAATAGATATGGGAGTTTAATTATCTATTCTATAAATGATGTCTAAACAGTGAGCAATTCACCAATTTCCTCTCAATAGGTTGTGAAAATAAGTGTACATTGTAAATGAATGCTAAAGAGCAAAGAGGGTTGCAGATAGCCTTGCGGTTGAGAGCGTTGGGCCAATAACCGAAACTTGGCCTATCCATATGGGGTACTTGAGAAGACTGATGACACCGTAGCCGTTCTGGTAAAATGCACATGAGGGGAAAGCATAATTCAGTTGGCGGTACAGTAACCGAAAACGCTTGGGAACCACCGTGCTAAATTACCAAAATGTAAACTCTCGGTGCTGTATCCCCCGCCTTCTATTGGACGCGGAACCAATATTGTCCAATGAAATGACTAGAACGGTCATGGCTAGAAAGGATCCAGCTTTTGTACAAAACAAAATAACGTCCGATTTGACTTTTCGTAGCATATTGTGAGAATTATCGTAGCAGGGGAATTAGGTTAAGGTTATGAAAAGGCTTAGGGTTAGCTTAAATGCAAAAAAATGATCTACTTTTGACGTTTATTTGACAAAAACTGGATCCATTTGACCGACTAGAACATTCTTGAAGGGACGTTAGGTTAGATCGAATTGGCTCAGAGCTCCTGCCGCTCTTCAGCATCATCTTGTTGTGAAAGCGAATTGACACATCAAAACACTGGTGGAAAAATAATCTAGCTAGTTTGGCAGTTTGAGATACCGCAGTCCGGAACGCAGAAGCTATTACTAATTGTATATCAAGACGTCATTCTTCAGTTGTATCCAATGGAACAGCCGAATGGTCACCACGGCGAGAATGAACCAGAGACCGGGGGGGGAAACGAAGACGCGGCGCGGCACCACGGCGAGAATGAACCGGAGACCGGGGGGGGAAACGAAGACGCGGCGCGGCACCACGGCGAGAATGAACCGGAGACCGGGGGGGGAAACGAAGACGCGGCGCGGCACCACGGCGAGAATAAACCAGAGACCGGGGGGGAAACGAAGACGCGGCGCAGCCTCCACTGAAGCGGTCCCGTTCAAGGAGTGACGTGTCGAATCATTTAGGATTAGACGGTAGCAACATGGAGACAACTACGGCCGGGGGAAGTGCCGCCGATGAACGACGCACATCCAACTATTCATCAAGGCAAAGGATGGACTCCCTGAGAAAGATCAGGCCACGTACGTTGGAACACTAACTTGACCTAATGTAGCTAATGTTGGCTAACAAACGGCAGCATAATAGCTAACTAGCGAGCTAACGGCCGTCTTCTCTGTTTGCCATGTCATTTTTCAGTTCTACAATGTGAACAAGCTGTTGGCTTTCCAGTCAAAATATTTTAGTTCGTGTGTCCATCAGGAAAAACGTCCCTGTTGTTTGCGCATCGTGAATGTTTTGCAGCAGCAGGCAGACAAGATGGCGTCTCAGTAAACACTGCTCAGGGGGAGGACACTGCATACAGAGCGGTCTACTATTATTGCCATATTTCTTAGCGTTGTATTGAAGAACATCGTTCTACAAGCTTTGTGTCACGATTACCTGACATTTTTTAGAAACAGTTGACATGTAATATATATATTGTAGTTTTATTTGATGCCAAACCTTACATATAATAATATGCCATTTAGCAGACGCTTTTATCCAAAGCGACTTACAGTCACGTGTGCATACATTTTTACGTATGGGTGGTCCCGGGGATCGAACCCACTACCCTGGCGTTACAAGCGCCATGCTCTACCAATTGAGCTACAGAGGACCACCCATATGTAAAAATGGGTGTTGGATTGTGCAGTAACCAACACTGTCATTGTCAATGATAACTCGTTGTGTACTGTAATGTGTAGTTGACATTTGATTTGCTGTTCACCCTCCCTCCTAATCACTTCCAGAGCTGTCTCTATGCAGCAACATTTTGCAACCATTTGTATGTACTGTTGCTGACATTTTATTAACAAAGATGTGTTCCTCCTCTCATTCTGTTTGGTCTCTGTGTCTGTACAGCCTTCCCCTGGTTTGGGATGGACATCGGTGGCACCCTGGTGAAGCTGGTCTACTTTGAGCCCAAAGACATCACAGCCGAGGAGGAGCAGGAGGAGGTAGAGAACCTGAAGAGCATCCGGCGCTACCTGACCTCCAACACAGCTTACGGTAAGACTTCACCTGGCCCAGACTATAGACCTCCAACAAAGCTTACGGTAAGACCTCACCTGGCCCAGACTATAGACCTCCAACACAGCTTACGGTAAGACCTCACCTGGCCCAGACTATAGACCTCCAACAGCCTACGGTAAGACCTCACCTGGCCCAGACTATAGACCTCCAACACCCTACGTTAAGACCTCACATGGCCCAGACTATAGACCAACACATCTTACGGTAATACCTCACCTGGCCCAGACTATAGACCTACAACACAGCTTACGGTAACACCTTACCTGGCCCAGACTATAGACCTCCAACAGCCTACGGTAAGACCTCACCTGGCCCAGACTATAGACCTCGATCACACCGACAGCGTCATTGCATTTTGGTACACCGGAAGTACATTCATTTCCATTGGAACCTCTGGAGAGAAGATCCTATAGATGAGGTTTACATTATAAGGTTTACAGACAGTCCATCTAGAAGGTTCACTAAATCCTATAACAAAGCATATGTACAAATCCAACTGGTACGTACCCCATAATGAGAAAGAGCCCAACATTTACATCATGTGTCTCTGCATAACAAAATATAATGAGTTAAGACTTCAGAAAGTATTCATACCCCTTGACTTATTCCACAGCAACACATAATACCCCATAATGACAAAGAGAAAACATGTTTTAGACATTTAAGCAAATGTATTAAATTAAATACAGAAATAGCTCATTTACATGAGTATTAACACCCCTAAGTCAATACTTTGTAGAAGCACCTTTGGTGGCGATTACAGCTTTGAGTCGTCTTGGGTACGTCTGGATCAGCTTTGCACATCTAGATTTGAGGATTTTCTCCCATTATTCCTTGCAGATTTTCTTAAGTTATGTTAAGTTAGATGGGGAGTTGTGGTGACCAGAAATCTTCCAAGTCTCCACTGATTTTTCAAATAGGATTCATGTCTGGGTTTTGGGCTGGGCCACTCAAGGACATTCACATTCTAGTTCTGAAGCCATTCCAGCGTTGCTTGGGGTCATTGTCCTGTTGGAATGTAAATCTTCGCCCCAGTCTAAGGTCGTTTTCACTCTGAAGCAGGTTCTCATCAAGGATTTGCCTGTATTTGGCTCCATCCATTGTTCCCGCTATCCTTGCCAGTCCCTGCCTCTGAAAACTATCCCAAATAGCATGATGCTGCCACCACCATGCATTCCCGATAGGGATAGTGTTAGATGGGTGATGAGCTGTGCCTGATTTTCTCCAGACATAGCGCTTTCCATTCATTTTACATTTTAGTCATTTAGCAGACGCTCTTATCCAGAGCGACTTACAGTTAGTGAGTGGATACATTTTTCATACTGCCCTGTGCAAAACAATTGCGCACATTTAGCTTTATCATCAGAGTTATAAAACAAGTAACCACCAGGGGGCGCCTGTCAGGAAGTCCAGGATCCAGTTGCAGAGGGAGGTGTTTAGTCCCAGGGTCCTTAGCTTAGTGGTGAGCTTTGAGGGCACTATGGTGTTGAACGCTGAGCTGTAGTCAATGAATAGCATTCTCACATAGGTGTTCCTTTTGTCCAGGTGGGAAAGGGCAGTGTGGAGCGCAATAGAGATTGCATCATCTGTGGATCTGTTGGGGCGATATGCAAATTGGAGTGGGTCTAGGGTTTCTGGGATAATGGTGTTGATGTGAGAAATGACCAGCCTTTCAAAGCACTTCATGGCTACAGACGTGAGTGCTACGGGTCAGTAGTCATTTAGGCAGCATTCCAGATGAAGCTGGTTGAGAGAATAATTCCAGGTGAAGCTGGTTGAGAGAATGCCAAGAGTGTGCAAAGCTGTCATCAAGGCAAAGGGTGGCTATTTGAAGAATCTCAAATATAAAATATTTTTATTTTGTTTAACACTTTTTTGGTTACTACATGATTCCATATGTGTTATTTCATAGTTTTGATGTCTTCACTATTATTCTACAATGTAGGAAATAGTAAAAATTAAGAAAAACCCTTGAATGAGTAGGTGTTCTAAAACCTTTGACCGGTAGTGTACAGTGCCTTCAGAAAGTACTCATACCCATTGATTTGATTCCTCATTTTGTTGTTAAAGCCTAAATTCAAAATTGATTTTTTTTTTTTATCTCACTTATCTACACACATTACCCCATAGTGAAAACATGTTTTTAGAAATATTTAAACATAAACAACCTCATTAAAAACAGTGTCTTATTATCAAATCTTATAGGCAACATTATAACCTTGATTAAGTATGTTTGAGGATTCTCCACAGGTTTTCCACGTGTGACCATAACTATCCAGAAGACATAGTTGTTCCATGTATAGTACTTACATAGACTGGGGATGATTGTTAATTGACAAGGTGTTGCTCCCCAATTTCGTGATATCCAATTGCGATCCGATTACGATCTTGTCTCATCGCTGCAACTCTCCAACGGGCTCGGGAGAGGCGAAGGTCGAGTCATGTGTCCTGCGAAACATGACCCGCCAAAGCCACGCTTCTTAACACCCGTTCGCTGAACCCGGAAGCCAGCCGCACCAATGTGTCGGAGGAAACACTGTTCAACTGACGACCATGGTCAGCTTGCAGGCGCCCGGGCCCGCCACAAGGAGTCGCTAGAGCACAATGAACCAAGTTAAGCCCCTCCGGCCAAACCCTCCCTAAACCCGACGACGCTTGGGCAAACCCTCCCCTAACCCGGAAAAGACGACGCTGGGTCCAAACCCTCCCGTAACCCGGACGACGCTAGGCCAACCCTCCCCTAACCCGGACGACGCTGGGCCAAACCCTCCCTAACCCGGACGACGCTGGGCCAAACCCTCCCCTAACCCGGACACGCTGGGCCAAACCCTCCCCTAACCCGGACGACGCTGGGCCAAACCCCTCCCCTAACCCGGACGACGCTGGGCCAAACCCTCCCCTAACCCGGACGAACGCTGGGCCAAACCCTCCCCTAACCCGGACGACGCTGGGCCAAACCCTCCCCTAACCGGACGACGCTGGGCCAAACCCTCCCTAAACCCGGACGACGCTGGGCCAAACCCTCCCCTAACCCGGACGACGCTGGGCCAAACCCTCCCCTAACCCGGACGACGCTGGGGCCAAACCCTCCCCTAACCCGACGACGCTGGGCCAAACCCTCCCCCTAACCCGGACGACGCTGGGCCAAACCCTCCCCTAACCCGGACGACGCTGGGCCAAACCCTCCCCTAACCCGGACGACGCTGGGCCAAACCCTCCCCTAACCCGGACGACGCTGGGCCAAACCCTCCCCTAACCCGGACGACGCTGGGCCAAACCCTCCCCTAACCCGGACGACGCTGGGCCAAACCCTCCCCTAACCCGGACGACGCTGGGCCAAACCCTCCCCTAACCCGGACGACGCTGGGCCAAACCCTCCCCTAACCCGGACGACGCTGGGCCAAACCCTCCCCTAACCCGGACGACGCTGGGCCAAACCCTCCCCTAACCCGGACGACGCTGGGCCAAACCCTCCCCTAAACCCGGACGACGCTGGGCCAAACCCTCCCCTAACCCGGACGACGCTGGGCCAAACCCTTCCCTAACCCGACGACGCTGGGCCAAACCCTTCCCCTAACCCGGACGACGCTGGGCCAAACCCTCCCCTAACCCGGACGACGCTGGGCCAAACCCTCCCCTAACCCCGGACGACGCTGGGCCAAACCCTCCCCTAACCCGGACGACGCTGGGCCAAACCCTCCCCTAACCCGGACGACGCTGGGCCAAACCCTCCCCTAACCCGGACGACGCTGGGCCAAACCCTCCCCTAACCCGGACGACGCTGGGCCAAACCCTCCCCTAACCCGGACGACGCTGGGCCAAACCCTCCCCTAACCCGGACGACGCTGGGCCAAACCCTCCCCTAACCCGGACGACGCTGGGCCAATTGTGCGCCACCCTATGGGACTCCCGGTAGTAATAATAATAATAATATGCCATTTAGCAGACGCTTTTATCCAAAGCGACTTACATTTTTGTGTATGGGTGGTCCCGGGGATCGAACCCACTACCCTGGAGTTACAAGCGCCGTGCTCTACCAGCTGAGCTACATAGGACCACCCAGAGGACGCCGCAACACTGCGATGCAGTGCCTTAGACAGCTGCGCCACTCGGGGAGGCCTCTACAAAAGCAGTTATATATACACACTGCTTTGTTTCCAGAGATAATAGTTGTTTTAAATAGGGGTGGGGGTATACTGCTGTGTTTCCAGATAACCAAGTATTGGAGTACTGCATATGTGGAGTGTGTCTGAAAGTGGGCGTTGCAAAATAAGTGGGTGGATCGACATAAGTTAGTGTTTGGAAACCTAACCTAACGTAGCAGGCATATAAAGACTGTTTCCACTAGCTACCACAGCCACATAGTCATCTGTATCGTAAAAATTCATGGAAACAAAAATGAGCTTTTTGGTCTTAATTTAAGGTTAGGCATAAGAGTAGCAGTGGGGTTAAGTTTAAAATAAAAATTTTAAGAAGATAAATTGTGGAAAGAGGCGGGGTTTATGACTGTGGCTGTGGTAACTAGTGACGACCTACAAAGGTGCCTGAGGCGGATTGAAAATACTTTATTCCTGACCCGGCAACACCCGCTTTCTGCCAATGCTGTTAAGGGTAGGCTGGACAATAGAACGAGTCAGAATTCACCCAAGGCTGAAAACAGCCAAAGAACGTTGGTTGAGCTGAGTAAGGGTGATGGGCCCCGTGTAGCTCAGTTGGTAGAGCATGGCTGTGGGTTCGATTCCCGGGGGGGGGCAGTATGAAAAAAAAGATGTATGCACTCACTAACTGTAAGTCGCTCTGGATAAGAGCGTCTGATAAATGACTAAAATGTAAATAATAGGCGTTTTAAAAAGGGGTGGGAGTATGTGAAGCATATACGATATTGTTTAATCCTTCATTTTAGCAAACACTATCAAAAGTGCACATGACCGTGTTCTTGCATGTCCCTCACACAGACGTAGAGACTCTCCACCCAGCATGGCATAGAGTTATTGTCCTGTTAAATGATGGGCAATCAGCAGGGGTTAAGCTTACTACTACAGGATAGGGTTGGGAAGGTTTTGAAAATCACCAGGGCCCATATTTGGCAAGTTACTAACAGGTCGGACCTGATCCTTGATCAGGACTCTAAGACACTTAATGAATATGGGCCAATGACTTGAACTGGCACTGGTGTACTCCCCCTCTTTGGCAATGGATCAGAGTCCTCCCAGCTTTGCAAAGTCTTCTCTGAAGGCACCCTCTCCCCTGGTTGAAAGAAAGTAAGATCCAACAATGAGTCTTAATCAGAAGGTGTAATAATAAGATGCATAGTTACGGACTTGCAAACATAAGTCGTTAAAACGGTATGTTAGCGCAAGGGCAAGACATATAGCTGGCTTGCTAGTTAGCTTATTGTCTTTTTGAGAAGGTTGTTTACGTATGCACTACTAGCTAGCTAGCTAGCTAGCTAACGTAGCTAGCTATATTTACCATTTCATTTGTATGTGACGCGAACCTCATCAACCAAAATCGTTTAAGAGCGTTAGGTAGCCTAGCGTTTAAGAAAGGTCACTGGTTCAAATCCCCAAGCCGGCAAGTCAGTTAACCCCCAACAACAACTGCTCCCCGGGCGCCGATGACGTGGACGTGGATTAAGGCAGCCCCCCCGTACCTCTCTGATTCAAAGGGGTTGGGTTAATTGCGGAATAAACATTTTGGTTGAATGCATTCAGTTGTGCAACTGACTAGGTATCCCCCTTACCCTTCCCCATGAGGTTTTCTTAAAACACTTGATTCCAATTCCTCCACTTGTCGTTTAGCGACCAGGACTCTCTGGGCCACCGAAAACAATCTGGCAACGTCCATGGAGGATGTTCTGCATCATTATTCCCACAGAGCTGCATAGCTTCGCAGCCTCTCTGATCTGGTCCTCCATGAGGGCGACCAACGGCAACACCACTATCAGTATTGGGTTGTCGATCCGTCCCATTTTCTTGACTACCAGCGAAGCCAGCTGGAAAATCAAGCTGCCCTCCAGTCCTGATATAGCTGATGCTATAGCAGCATCAACGCTAACCTCCTCGAGAGGTTGGTTTTGTTTTCGTTCCGTGGCCCAGTACGGGCGCTTCTCGTGGTCGGCACCACCTAAACCACCACCGTAGTTCATCAAATGGACGCTGATTGGTCCTACGAAACGGTGAGGGCTCCAATCTCACACCTTCACAGCTTTACCAGACTGATATCCGCAATAGTGTGCAACTGCAGCCCTGCCAGACTGATATCCCCCCCCCCCATCTCTTCATTAACCTTAACCCTAAGCTCATGGGATCAGGCGGCTTTGCGAGGCTACTCCGCTCCAGCCTCCCCAACCTAATGTGTAAGTGTATATCTGAGGGTTTTGAGGTAAAAAAATAAATAAAATCAATTTCAAAATATGGACTAATGAAAGTATACCTTTATGACGGTGTATCTGTGGGGCTAGGAAAGACGGGGATCAGAGATGTTCACCTAGAGCTGAAGGACCTGACGATGTGCGGGCGCACAGGGAACCTCCACTTCATCCGTTTCCCCACCCAGGATCTGCCGGCCTTCCTACAGATGGCACGTAACAAGCACTTCTCCAGCCTCCACACCACCCTCTGTGCCACCGGAGGGGGGGCCTACAAGTTTGAATTGGACTTCCGCCAGGTGGGTCCAGTAAACAGGCAACGGAAGATTTTTAGCGGGAAAGAGAGTGACCATCCCTCTAGTTACTGTAATGTTTGCAGGTTAGCGGGTTTTTTTTCCATCATAAATCTTGTTCTGGAGGCAGCTATGCAGAGTGGTCACTAGCTGGCACAGCCACAAAGTCTTCATCTGTTTTTAACCCTAACCTTAACCCCTTAACCCCTAAAATTAAACACACTGCTAACCCTAATGCCTAACCTTAATTTAAGACCAAAAAGCACATTTTTATTTTCATTCATTTTTACAAATTAGCCAATTTTGACTTTGCAGCTGGCCTATCTAAGGGGAAAACGCTCAGTTCTGCATCCAGGACATGATTCATGACAAATGTCAACCTGTGTAATGAATTGGCCCGTCTCTCTCAGAAGCCTGTTAATACATTGAGAAGGGGGGGGGGGGTTGTGTCGAACTGCAACGCTGCTGGGTTTTTCACGCTCAACAGTTTCCCGTGTGCATCAAGAATGGTCCACCACCCAAAGGACATCCAGCCAACTTGACACAACTGTGGGAAACATTGGAGTCAACATGGGCCAGCATCCCTGTGGAACGCTTTCGACACCTTGTAGAGTCCATGCCCCAACAAATTGAGTTCTGAAGGCAAAAGGGGGTGCAACTCAATATTAGGAAGGAATGCTAATGTTTGGTATACTCAGTGTATGTATTAGGCAAATCTTTTAAGAAACCACTATGTATATGATGAATTGGGGAAAATAACCTCCTGTCCTCTCCTCAGATGACTGACCTCTCCTCTCCTCAGATGGCAGACCTCCTGTTCTCTCCTCTCCCCAGATGGCTGACCTCCTGACCTCTCCTCTCCTCAGATGGCTGACCTCCTGTTCTCTCCTCTCCCCAGATGGCTGACCACCTGTTCTCTCCTCTCCTCAGATGGCAGACCTCCTGTTCTCTCCTCTCTCCAGATGGCTGACCTCCTGACCTCTCCTCTCCTCAGATGGCTGACCTCCTGACCTCTCCTCTCCTCAGATGGCTGACCTCCTGACCTCTCCTCTCCTCAGATGGCTGACCTCCTGACTCCTCAGATGACTGACCTCCTGTTCTCTCCTCTCCTCAGATGGCTGACCTCCTGTTCTCTCCTCCTCTCAGATGGCTGACCTCCTGACCTCTCCTCCTCTCAGATGGCTGACCTCCTGACCTATTCTCTCCTCAGATGGCTGACCTCCTGACCTCTCCTCTCCTCAGATGGCTGACCTCCTGACCACTCCTCTCCTCAGATGGCTGACCTCCTGACCTCTCCTCTCCTCAGATGGCTGACCTCTCCTCTCCTCAGATGGCTGACCTCCTGTTCTCTCCTCCTCTCAGATGGCTGCCCTCCTGACCTCTCCTCTCCTCAGATGGCTGACCTCTCCTCTCCTCAGATGGCTGACCTCCTGTTCTCTCCTCCTCTCAGATGGCTGACCTCCTGACCACTCCTCTCCTCAGATGGCTGACCTCCTGACCTCTCCTCTCCTCAGATAGCTAACCTCCTGTTCTCTCCTCTCCTCAGATGGCTGACCTCCTGTTCTCTCCTCTCCTCAGATGGCTGACCTCCAGCTGCTGAAACTAGATGAGCTGGACTGTCTGATACGGGGTGTCTTCTACATAGACTCAGTGGTGTCCAGTCCTTCAGAGTGCTACTACTACGAGAACCCTACAGACCCCGAACACTGTGTCCAGAAACCCTTCCCCCTGGAGAACCCATACCCTGTGCTGCTGGTCAACATCGGATCTGGCGTCAGCATGCTGGCGGTCTACTCCAAGAACAACTACAAACGAGTGACTGGGACCAGGTAAGGTTAGCGTGTGGCGGGTAGCTTTAGTGGTTAAGAGCGTTGTGCCAGTAACCGAAAGGTCGCTGGTTCTAATCCCTGAGCCGACTAGGTGAAAAATCTGTCTGTGCCCTTGAGCAAGGTACTTAACCCTAATTGCTCCTGTAAGTCGCTCTGGATAAGAACGTCTGCTAAATGACGTAAATGTAAGCCTTTTGGCCACTGTCACCTGTGTCTATTAACCACATTTATACCAAAAAGCTGTAGACGTACATTTGGGTTATATTTATCCTTGTGATTTAAATTCCTGTTTTACATCACTTAACTGGTTTTGTAACGTAGCCTATCCAAGGTGATGAAAGCGAAGCACTTCCTGTTTTTCTCTACGTGTTGAAACGGGGCCTTGAACCTATGAGGTGGTTTAGCGTTTTGAACTGAGTTTGTTCTGTATTAGCCTGACGTATATTAGCTTATAGGTTGTTGTCAATACAACGTCACAATAAGGTGCACAGCGTGCGATTTGGAAACCCCCTGCTCCGCTAAAACCATTGACAACTAGGCATTGTTTTATAATGGCGCCGGAGGGGATGGCTGCCGTTTTTACGGGCTCCTAACCAACTGTGCTGTTTTTTCGCATTGTTTGTAACTTATTTTGTACATAATGTTGCTGCTACCGTCTCTTATGACCGAAAATAACTTCTGGACATCAGAACAGCGATTACTCACGTCGAACTGGACGAAGATCTTTTATTTAATGAGTCCGACGCGAAGGATATACTGCTTCTCCGAGACCAGGCTGAAATACAGGGGGCCTTGTTAAAAACCCGCCTCTACCATCCGTTCTATTGGCCAACATGCAATCACTGGAAAATAAACTGGATGATCTTCGTTCGAGACTATCCTGCCAACGGGACAGTAAAAACTGTAATATCTTATGTTTCACCGAGTCGTGGCTGAACGACGACACGGATAATATACAGTTGGCTGGGTTTTCCGTGCATCGGCAGGACAGAACAGCTACGTCTGGTAAGACGAGGGCCGGGGGTGTGTGTCTATTTGTCAATAACAGCTGGTGTGCGATGTCTAATATTAAGGAAGTCTCGTGGTTTTGCTCGCCTGAGGTAGAGTACCTCATGATAAGCTGTAGACCCACTATTTACCAAGAGAGTTTTCATCTATATTTTTCGTAGCTGTCTATTTACCACCACAAACCGATGCTGGCACTAAGACCGCACTCAATGAGCTGTATACGGCCATAAGCAAACAGGAAAATGCTCATCCAGAAGCGGCGCTGAAAGTGGCCGGGGACTTTAATGAAGGCAAACTTAAATCCGTTCTACCAGCATGTCACAACTCCAGACCACCTTTACTCCACACACAGAGACACATACAAAGCTCTCCCTCGCCCTCCATTTGGCAAATCTGACCATAATTATATCCTCCTGATTCCTGCTTACAAGCAAAAACTAAAGCAGGAAGCACCAGTGACTCGGTCAATATGAAAGGGGTCATCCAATGGCATTGAGGAGTATACCACAACAGTCACCGGCTTCATCAATAAGTGCATCGACGACGTCGTCCCCACAGTGACCGTACGTACATATCCCAACCAGAAGCCATGGATTACAGGCAACGTCCGCACCAAGCTAAAGGGTAGAGCTGCCGCTTTCAAGGAGCGGGACACTAATCCGGACGCTTATAAGAAATCCCGCTATGCCCTCCGACGAACCATCAAACAGGCAAAGAGTCAATACAAGACTAAGATTGAATCCTTCTACACCGGCTTTGAGGCTCGTCGGATGTTGCAGGGCTTGCAAACTATTACGGACTACAAAGGGAAATCCAGCCGCGAGCTGCCCAGTGACGTGAGCCTACCAGACGAGCTAAATGTCTTTTAATGCTCGCTTCAAGGCAAGGAACACTGAAGCATGCATGAGAGCACCAGCTGTTCCGGACGACTGTGTGATCACGCTCTCTGTAGCCGATGTGAGCAAGACCTTTAAACAGGTCAACATTCATAAGGCCGCGGGGCCAGACGGATTACCAGGACGTGTACTCCGAGTATGCGCGGACCAACTGGCAAGTGTCTTCACTGACATTTTCAACATCTCCTTGACCGAGTCTGTAATACCTACATGTTTCAAGCAGACCACTATAGTCCCCGTGGCCCAAGGACACTAAGATAACCTGCCTAAATGACTACTGACCCGTAGCACTCACGTCTGTAGCCATGAAGTGCTTTGAAAGGCTGGTCATGGCTCACATCAACACCATCATCCCGGAAACCCTAGACCCACTCCAATTTGCATATCGCCCCAACAGATCCACAGATGACGCAATCTCAATCGCCCTCCACACTACCCTTTCCCACCTGGACAAAAGGAACACCTACTTGAGAATGCTATTCATTGACTACAGCTCAGCGTTCAACACCATAGTGCCCTCAAAGCTCACCACTAAGCTAAGGACCCTGGGACTAAACACCTCCTTCTGCAACTGGATCCTGGACTTCCTGACGGGCCGACCCCAGGTGGTAACTTGTTTTATAACTCTGATGATAAAGCTAAATGTGGGCAATTGTTTTGCACTGAATAATTGGAAAATTGCTCTTCAAGAGGTCATTATATTAAATCCAAATAGTTATAACATTTATTTAACAATCCCTTGACAACGGCACACAGTTGTCAATGGTTTTGGCGGAGCTGGGGTCTCCTTGCCCCACAGCAGGGAACTCGAACACTTTGCACCGTATTGTGAAAGTTTTCTTTTTTATTGAAACAACCAATATTATCTGCATAGAATTAGGAATTAGAATACTTGAATGGACATGAACCTTCTTATGACGGGATAAAGTTCAACCATTTTGGTCAGGGATATGATCAACCATTGTTTGCCAGTGCTGTGATAAGATGTATTGTGTAAATCAATGAATGTGAATAATTTTTCTGCACTTTATGTGTGTTGGCTAACTAGCCAGACAGAGGAATTATTCCATTAATTGTTTTAATTAACTGTCAATATGCCAACATTCCATTCAAACAATGCAGTCAATCCACAGCCACACACTGTCTGAAATCAGTTGATGATGGCGCTTAGACAAGTTGTAAATGCAATAAGTACTGATATTGTATCATATAATGGCACTCACAGCTTTCCAAGAAAACAAAATCTGATACATGTATGGTCTGTTTACATATATTTTAGAGGCCATTCCTTGTACTCTGTGTTCTGACAAGGAGTGGAATTCTAGCTAAACAGACTGGTACCCAGGCTATGGAGCTAAACAGACTGGTACCCAGGCTATGGAGCTAAACAGACTGGTACCCAGGCTATGGAGCTAAACAGACTGGTACCCAGGCTATGGAGCCAAACAGACTGGTACCCAGGCTATGGAGCCAAACAGACTGGTACCCAGGCTATGGAGCCAAACAGACTGGTACCCAGGCTATGGAGCCAAACAGACTGGTACCCAGGCTATGGAGCTAAACAGACTGGTACCCAGGCTATGGAGCTAAACAGACTGGTACCCAGGCTATGGAGCTAAACAGACTGGTACCCAGGCTATGGAGCTAAACAGACTGGTACCCAGGCTATGGAGCTAAACAGACTGGTACCCAGGCTATGGAGCTAAACAGACTGGTACCCAGGCTATGGAGCTAAACAGACTGGTACCCAGGCTATGGAGCCAAACAGACTGGTACCCAGGCTATGGAGCTAAACAGACTGGTACCCAGGCTATGGAGCTAAACAGACTGGTACCCAGGCTATGGAGCTAAACAGACTGGTACCCAGGCTATGGAGCCAAACAGACTGGTACCCAGGCTATGGAGCCAAACAGACTGGTACCCAGGCTATGGCTGCTCCCCTCGCCTCTGTTTGTTGTCCCTGGTGGTTTCCCCGTCTGCCTGCCCTGAAAGAGACTCTTTCACTGAGTCTGGCACATGACTGCTCAGGCCCTGTCTGCCATAATAGTCCTCTGTGCTGCATGGCTAGAGTCAAGAGGAGGAGACAGGAAGTTGTTCCACTGGAGTGGAGTGGTGTTTCCCCTAGACGCTGATCTTCGGTCAGATTTGAATTTCAACCACCATTGGTTAAAGGTTAGAATTTGGGGAGGGGAAGTTGTTTCTAGATCTATATCTAGGGGAAAACGTCTCCCCGGAGCCTGGGAAGGAAGAGCCTGGAACATTTGGAGTGCTTTTAATAATATGGTTATAACAGTGTCCTGTGTTTTCCCATGCAGTCTGGGCGGAGGGACGTTCCTGGGGCTGTGCTGTTTACTGACTGGCTGCTCCAGCTTCGAGGAGGCTCTGGAGATGGCGTCGCAGGGGGAGAGCACACGCGTGGATAAGCTAGTACGGGACATCTACGGAGGGGACTACGAGCGCTTCGGCCTCCCTGGCTGGGCTGTGGCCTCCAGGTAAACCGTTAGCAGGACCAGGGCTGTGGCCTCCAGGTAAACCGTTACCAGGGGTGTGGCCTCCAGGTAAACCGTTACCAGGGGTGTGGCCTCCAGGTAAACCGTTACCAGGGGTGTGGCCTCCAGGTAAACCGTTACCAGGGGTGTGGCCTCCAGGTAAACCGTTACCAGGGGTGTGGCCTCCAGGTAAACCGTTACCAGGGGTGTGGCCTCCAGGAAAACCGTTACCAGGGGTGTGGCCTCCAGGTAAACCGTTACCAGGGGTGTATTCATTAGTGAATACAGTAGCAAAATGTTTTGCAACAGGTAGCCTAGCGGTTAAGAGCATTGGGCCAGTAAAGGAAAGGTTGCTGGTTCGAATCTCCGAGCCGACTAACTGAAAAATCTGTCTGTGCCGTTGAGCAAGGCACTTAACCCTAATTGCTCCTGTAAGTCGCTCTGGCCATTATGTATTTCTGTCTTGTAGTTTTGGGAACATCATGTATTTCTGTCTTGTAGTTTTGGGAACATCATGTATTTCTGTCTTGTAGTTTTGGGAACATCATGTATTTCTGTCTTGTAGTTTTGGGAACATCATGTATTTCTGTCTTGTAGTTTTGGGAACATCATGTATTTCTGTCTTGTAGTTTTGGGAACATCATGTATTTCTGTCTTGTAGTTTTGGGAACATCATGTATTTCTGTCTTGTAGTTTTGGGAACATGTATTTCTGTCTTGTAGTTTTGGGAACATGGTGTGTAAAGAGAAGCGGGAGGCCATCTCTAAAGAGGACCTAGCCAGAGCCACCCTGGTCTCCATCACCAATAACATCGGCTCCATCACCAGGATGGTTGCGCTCAACGAGGTACTTCACTATGAAATGGCACCCTATTCCCTATATAGTGCACTACTTTAGACCAGAGAATGGCACCCTATTCCCTATATAGTGCACTACTTTAGACCAGAGAATGGCACCCTATTCCCTATATAGTGCACTACTTTAGACCAGAGAATGACACCCTATTCCCTATATAGTGCACTACTTTAGACCAGAGAATGGCACCCTATTCCCTATATAGTGCACTACCTTAGACCAGAGAATGGCACCCTATTCCCTATATAGTGCACTACTTTAGACCAGAGAATGGCACCCTATTCCCTATATAGTGCACTACTTTAGACCAGAGAATGGCACCCTATTCCCTATATAGTGCACTACTTTAGACCAGAGAATGGCACCCTATTCCCTACATAGTGCACTACTTTAGACCAGAGAATGGCACCCTATTCCCTATATAGTGCACTACTTTAGACCAGAGAATGGCACCCTATTCCCTACATAGTGCACTACTTTAGACCAGAGAATGGCACCCTATTCCCTATATAGTGCACTACTAGAGCCCTGGTCCAACGTAGTGCACTATATCTAAACTGCCATAGTGTATTTCTACTATTAAAATTGTGAATAAATATACCGATAATAAAAATAGGAAATAGGCTTCAATTTCAGACACTGTTTGCATGTTGTGGCGGTATAGTGCTGCTCTGAAGACCGTGGAGACAGATTAACATCACACAGAGATATGTTCAGGGTGGTTGTTCAGGGTGGTGGTGTTGGATGTTCAGGGTGGTGTTGGATGTTCAGGGTGGTGGTGTTGGATGTTCAGGGTGGTGTTGGATGTTCAGGGTGGTGGTGTTGGATGTTCAGGGTGGTGTTGTTGGATGTTCAGGGTGGTGTTGGATGTTCAGGGTGGTGGTGTTGGATGTTCAGGGTGCATTGGATGTTCAGGGTGGTGTTGGATGTTCAGGGTGGTGGTGTTGGATGTTCAGGGTGGTGGTGTTGGATGTTCAGGGTGGTGGTGTTGGATGTTCAGGGTGGTGGTGTTGGATGTTCAGGGTGGTGGTGTTGGATATTCAGGGTGCATTGGATGTTCAGGGTGGTGGTGTTGGATGTTCAGGGTGGTGGTGTTGGATGTTCAGGGTGGTGTTGGATGTTCAGGGTGGTGTTGGATGTTCAGGGTGGTGGTGTTGGATGTTCAGGGTGGTGGTGTTGGATGTTCAGGGTGGTGGTGTTGGATGTTCAGGGTGGTGTTGGATGTTCAGGGTGGTGGTGTTGGATGTTCTCTCTTTGCCTTCAGCCTCTTTATGATGCTGCCTTGTGGAATCTGGATCAAGCAGCATTGTACAGGGCTCTGAAGGCACTGGGCTCTGCTTCAGCCAGTCTGCATCTGAAGGCACGGGGCTCTGCTTCAGCCAGTCTGCATCTGAAGGCACCGGGCTCTGCTTCAGCCAGTCTGCATTGTACAGGGCTCTGAAGGCACGGGGCTCTGCTTCAGCCAGTCTGCATCTGAAGGCACCGGGCTCTGCTTCAGCCAGTCTGCATCTGAAGGCACCGGGCTCTGCTTCAGCCAGTCTGCATCTGAAGGCGCCGGGCTCTGCTTCAGCCAGTCTGCATTGTACAGGGCTCGAAGGCACGGGGCTCTGCTTCAGCCAGTCTGCATTGTACAGGGCTCGAAGGCACTGGGATCTGCTTCAGCCAGTCTGCATTGTCAGGGCTCTGAAGGCACGGGGCTCTGCTTCAGCCAGTCTGCATTGTCAGGGCTCTGAAGGCGCCGGGCTCTGCTTCAGCCAGTCTGCATCTGAAGGCACGGGGCTCTGCTTCAGCCAGTCTGCATTGTACAGGGCTCTGAAGGCATGGGGCTCTGCTTCAGCCAGTCTGCATTGTACAGGGCTCTGAAGGCACGGGGCTCTGCTTCAGCCAGTCTGCATTGTACAGGGCTCTGAAGGCACTGGGCTCTGCTTCAGCCAGTCTGCATTGTACAGGGCTCTGAAGGCACGGGGCTCTGCTTCAGCCAGTCTGCATTGTACAGGGCTCTGAAGGCACGGGGCTCTGCTTCAGCCAGTCTGCATTGTACAGGGCTCTGAAGGCACTGGGCTCTGCTTCAGCCAGTCTGCATTGTACAGGGCTCTGAAGGCACGGGGCTCTGCTTCAGCCAGTCTGCATTGTACAGGGCTCTGAAGGCACTGGGCTCTGCTTCAGCCAGTCTGCATTGAAACGCGTGTTGTTTCATGTCTGTTGTCATTGATTTGAGAAATTAGACTTAATCTTAAGATATTTAAATGAATGGAAGGCTGAAATGACCCATTGTAATCATCCGTTTTTACAACCATGAACCATGTAAGAAATATAGTGTCCCAAATGACAACGTACCCCTCTGTTTGTATTTCTGGCCAGAACATTGAGAGGGTGGTGTTCGTAGGGAACTTCCTGAGGGTGAACACCCTGTCCATGAAGCTGCTGGCCTACGCCATGGACTACTGGTCTAAAGGCCAGCTGAAAGCCCTGTTCCTCAGGCACGAGGTAAGGAGTTCAGTCCGTCCCTGAGGCCTGGAGGAAAACAGTAGAACAAGATGTTTTAAAATGTACCTTGACGATGTATCTGCTTGGGTTCAGTCTGTACGGTGCCTTCAGAAAGTATTCACACCTCTTGACTTTTAACACACACATTTTGTTGTGTCACAAGGTGGTATTAAAATGGATTTAATTGTCAATTTTTTTTGTCAACGATCTACACAAAATACTCTGTCAAAGTGGAAGAAAAATTAACTAACATTTGTCAAACATTAATGCAAAATGAAACACTAATATCTTGATTACATAAATATTCAACCCCCTGAGTCAATACATGTTAGAATCACCTTTGGCAGCGATTACAGCTGTGAGTCTTTCTGGGTAAGTCTCTTAAGCGCTTTGCACACCTGAATTGGACAATATTTGCCCATTTATTATTTAAAAAATTGGTTGTTGATCATTGGTAGACAGCCATTTTCAGGTCTTGCCATATACTTTCAAGTAGATTTAAGTCAAAACTGTAACTCGGCCACTCAGGAACATTCAATGTCATCTTGGTAAGCAACTCCAGTGTATATTTGGCCTTGTGTTTTAGGTTATTGTCCTGCTGAAAGGTGTATTTCTCTCCCAGTGTCTGGTGGAAAGCAGACTGAACCAGGTTTTCCTCTGGGTTTTTGCCTGTGCTTAGCTCTATTCTGTTTCTTTTTATCCTAAAAAACTCCCCAGTCCTTGCCGGTGACAACCATACCCATAACATAATCAATTAATTAAATGTATTTATAAAGCCCTTTTTACATCAGCAGATGTCACAAAGTGCTTATACAGAAACCAGCCTAAAACCCCAAAGAGCAAGCGATGTAGAAGCACAGTGGCTAAGAAAAACTCCCTAGAAAGGCAGGAACCTAGGAAGAAACCTAGAGAGGAACCAGGCTCTGAGGGGTGGCCAGTCCTCTTCTGGCTGTGCCGGGTGGAGATTATAAGAGTACACGGCCATTTAAGGCCAGATCGTTCTTCAAGATGATCAAACATTCATAGATGACCAGCAGGGTCAAATAATAATCACAGTGGTTGTAAAGGGAGCAACAGGTCAGCACCTCAGGAGGAAATGTCAGTTGGCTTTTCATAGCAGCGACCACTATGCTTGAAAATATTGAGTGGTACTAAGTGATATTGTGTTGGATTTGCATCAAACATAACGCTTTGTATTCAGGACACAAAGTTCATTTCTTTGCCACATTTTTTGCAGTATTACTTTAGTGCCTTATTGCAAACAGGATGCATGTTTTGGAATATTTGTATTCTGTACAGGCTTCCTTCTTTTCACTCTGTCATTTAGGTTAGTATTGTGGAGTAACTACAATGTTGTTGATCCATCCTCAGTTTTCTCCTATCACAGCCATTAAACTCTGTAACTGTTCCTTCTTCTCCGGCAACTGAGTTAGGAGGATGCCTGTATCTTTGTGGTGACTGGGTGTATTGATACACCATCCAAAGTGTAATTAATAACTTCACCATGCCCAAAGGGATATTCAATGTCTGCTTTTTATTTTTACCCATCTACCAATAGGAGCCCTTCTTTGCGAGGCATTGGAAAACCTCCCTGGTCTTTGTGGTTGAAATTCACTGGTTGACTGAGGGACCTTACAGTTATTACATTTACATTTTAGTCATTTAGCAGACGCTCTTATCCAGAGCGACTTACAGTTAGTGAGTGCATACATGTTTTCATACTGGCCCCCCGTGCGAATCGAACCCACAACCCTGGCGTTGCAAACGCCATGTTCTACCGACTGAGCTACACGGGAATTATCTGTATGTGTGTGGGATACAGAGATGAGGTAGTCATTAATAAATCATGTTAAACACTTATTGCAGACAGAGTGAGTCCATACAACGTATTATGTGACTTGTTAATGAAATGTAATTAGGCTTGCCATAACAAAGGGGTTGAATACTTATTGACTCAAGATATTTAAGCTTTTTATAAATTTTTTAAAAAAATCTAAAAGCATAATTTCCACTTTGACATTATGGGGTATTGCGTGCAGGCCAGTGTCAGAAAATCTCAATGTAATCAATTTCAAATTCTGGCTGTAACACAACAAAATGTGGAAAAAAAGTCAAGGGGTTTGAATACTTTCTGAAGGCAGTGTAGATACACATACTGGTAACTACATCAAACACCATGAGAAGAGGTATTATAGATACACATACTGGTAACTACAGGAGACTCAATACACATTTCTCCCCAGAATATGAGTGGTTGAGTTAAATGTATCTCTATGGACTGTCCCAGCCATGGTGGTGGAGGTGGAAACAGAAGGTTGCAGCTTTCCCCAAATTAGTAATAACTACATCAAACACCATGAGAACAGGGACTAAAGTAAGACACAAGGTAAAGCTCTTCCTTGGTCAATCCTTGATGGAGTACAACAACATATCCCATCTGCTCAGTTTGTATATCAAACACCATGAGAAGTGAGAGATCTGCAGTAAACTAACGTGATTGTTGTCGTCAGGGCTACTTCGGATCAGTTGGGGCTTTGCTGGAGCTCCTGGATCCATCCTGATGGCTACCGTGGCCCTGAAGGTCAAACTAGCGCTGAAGACCCAAGGACCGCTCTTACCCAAGGGCCGCTCTTACCCAAGGACTGCTCTTACCCAAGGACCGCTCTTACCCAAGGACAGACTAGCACTTAGACTTAAGCTCTTAAACCAAAGACCGTCCGTCCAGTGGGACTACACCTTTATACTTTAAGTTTATCCTCACTCCATTGGTGCAGTGGGCTTGTATGTACAAGTAGCCAGATAGGTAGCCTGTACAGTAGCCAGATAGGTAGCCTGTACGGTAGCCAGATAGGTAGCCTGTACAGTAGCCAGATAGGTAGCCTGTACAGTAGCCAGATAGGTAGCCTGTACAGTAGCCAGATAGGTAGCCTGTACAGTAGGTAGCCTGGTCCGTCTGCATATGTTTGACAGGAATGTGAATCCCTCCAGGAACGCCACCACTGTTGCCTTTACTGCTGTATGATCACATGTCTGTTTGGCATGTTTAATAAAGTTGCTTGATTGCTCCTGTCACCATCAGCAGCCGATGTGTTAGCTCTGACGTTAACCTCCAGAGAAGCGTCAATGGCCGGGGCCCAATTTGCCGTTTTACTGGCACTAACTGCAGGGCTAATTCCAGTCAATACAGGAAGTACGCTGACATTCCAATTCTCTTCAATGCTTTTCAATGCAATTTTGGTTTACTTTCTGAATTGACTGGAATTGACCCCAACCCTGATTGTCTGTTACGTTAACTTTATTTTTTTTATTGTTTTACATTTGTTCACTGTTACATTTTGCTGCTCAACTGCAAAGTAATTGTTACATATTGATGGAGGAGGTTTCGATTTGATATTCAATAATTCCAAGCGGGATTATGTGGGGTCTGTTTTGGACATAGAATAACATTTATGTTCACCTGAATGAACTGTTACCAAAGAAGCTGACTCTTATTAAACTTTACACCGCCTTGAGACGATCTCTCCGTCTCGCCACAGTACTACTGTCGTTTCAACTGTTCTCTATTGGACCTACTTTAACTACCTTTATTCAGATCACCATGCCAACAGCTACTCTTCCTGGAGTCCGTACGCATAACTAAAAAGACTTACTACTACTTTACAGTTTACATTAAGACACAGTAGTAGACATTACAGACAAAATACTTTACAGTTTACATTAAGACACGGTAGTAGACATTACAGACAAAATACTTTACAGTTTACATTACATTAAGACACGGTAGTAGACATTACAGAACAAAATACTTTACAGTTTACATTACATTAAGACACGGTAGTAGACATTACAGACAAAATACTTTACAGTTTACATTACATTAAGACACGGTAGTAGGCATTACAGACAAAATACTTTACAGTTTACATTACATTAAGACACGGTAGTAGACATTACAGACAAAATACTTTACATTACATTAAGACACGGTAGTAGGCATTACAGACAAAATACTTTACAGTTTACATTACATTAAGACACGGTAGTAGACATTACAGAACAAAATACTTTACATTACATTAAGACACGGTAGTAGACATTACAGACAAAATACTTTACAGTTTACATTACATTAAGACACGGTAGTAGACATTACAGACAAAATACTTTACAGTTTACATTACATTAAGACACGGTAGTAGGCATTACAGACAAAATACTTTACAGTTTACATTACATTAAGACACGGTAGTAGACATTACAGACAAAATACTTTACATTACATTAAGACACGGTAGTAGGCATTACAGACAAAATACTTTACAGTTTACATTACATTAAGACACGGTAGTAGACATTACAGAACAAAATACTTTACAGTTTACATTACATTAAGACACGGTAGTAGACATTACAGACAAAATACTTTACAGTTTACATTACATTAAGACACAGTAGTAGGCATTACAGACAAAATACTTTACAGTTTACATTACATTAAGACACGGTAGTAGACATTACAGACAAAATACTTTACATTACATTAAGACACGGTAGTAGGCATTACAGACAAAATACTTTACAGTTTACATTACATTAAGACACAGTAGTAGACATTACAGACAAAATACTTTACATTACATTAAGACACGGTAGTAGGCATTACAGACAAAATACTTTACAGTTTACATTACATTAAGACACGGTAGTAGACATTACAGAACAAAATACTTTACATTACATTAAGACACGGTAGTAGACATTACAGACAAAATACTTTACAGTTTACATACATTAAGACACGGTAGTAGACATTACAGACAAAATACTTACAGTTTACATTACATTAAGACACGGTAGTAGGCATTACAGACAAAATACTTTACAGTTTACATTACATTAAGACAACGGTAGTAGACATTACAGACAAAATACTTTACATTACATTAAGACACGGTAGTAGCATTACAGACAAAATACTTTACAGTTTACATTACATTAAGACACGTAGTAGACATTACAGAACAAAATACTTTACATTACATTAAGACACGGTAGTAGACATTACAGACAAAATACTTTACAGTTTACATTACATTAAGACACGGTAGTAGACATTACAGACAAAATACTTTACAGTTTACATTACATTAAGACACGGTAGTAGACATTACAGACAAAATACTTTACAGTTTACATTACATTAAGACACGGTAGTAGACATTACAGACAAAATACTTTACAGTTTACATTACATTAAGACACGGTAGTAGACATTACAGACAAAATACTTTACAGTTTACATTACATTAAGACACGGTAGTAGACATTACAGACAAAATACTTTACAGTTTACATTACATTAAGACACGGTAGTAGGCAACACTTACCATTCAATGAGTACTTTCAGGGATCTGGATCTGCTGTATTTGTGCAGTATAAGGGTTTTCTTTGCAATCATCTTGGCAAATATATATATATATACACTCAGTGGCCAGTTTATTAGGTACACCATCTAGTACCGGGTCAGACCCCCCCTTTGCCTCCAGAACATCCCGAATTCTTCGGAGCATGGAAACGTTTCTCAATTGGTATCAAGGGACCTAACACGTGCCAGGAAAACATTCCCCACACCATTACACCACCACCACCAGCCTGTAGCGTTGACACCAGGCAGGATGGGACCATGGACTGATAGGACTGGAACCCGGTATGATTGTCTTGTTTGTGGCCCGCCTGTTAGATTGCACGATTCTTGCCATTCTCCTTTGACCTCTCATCAACGAGCTGTTTTCGCCCACAGGACTGCCGCTCAATGGACGTTTTTTGATCGCCGCACCATTCTCGGTAAATCCTAGACACTGTCGTGCGTGAAAAGCCCAGGAGGCCGGCCGTTTCTGAGATACTGGATCCGGCGCGCCTGGCACCGACGATCGTACCACGCTCAAAGTCGCTTAGGTCACTCGTTTTGACCATTCTAACGTTCAATCGAACAGTAACTGAATGCCTCAAAGCCTGTCTGCCTGCTTTATATAGCAAGCCACGGCCACGTGACTGTCAGAAGGAGCGAAGCATTTTCGTGAACAGAGTAGTGCACCTAATAAACTGGCCACGGAGTCTATAAGGAATAGGGACTATGTAATGACATTTACATTATTTATATACATTATTTACTTCCCAAAGGCAAGTAACATACACAAGTTGTGTTCAATCTGCTCTTATCAAATCAGCTATATCATAATTTCTAAGTTATAGTTTTTCTGTTGTGTTATGGTGCAGCGTAATTGTAGAATTTAAAGATACTAGTGCTTCATTTTCAGCAAAATAAATCCTGTTAAGTGCCTGGTATATAGTGCCTGGTATATGTTGTAGCCTATAAATGTAAAAAGACAGACATGCTTTTTATAATCAGACCTGTCTTTGACTCCATACACCAAGTTTTCCCTCTGTTGGTGACGTACAATGTGCAAAAAAAAGGGAGTACTTTTTTTTTTATTATTACAAAATGTTTGTAATAAATCTATTTTGTGTTGAATATAAATTATTTTAATGTCATTCTGAGGTGATGCTTATTTATTTGATAATAGCACATTCTGCAATGGAAATCTACAAGACGTGTTTTCGATAGCAAGCTATCCACATAAAGTAAGAGGAATAAAAATGTTTAATAAAAAAAAAAAAAATGAAAGCTGTTTTTTACTTGGTCATGGAGTCAGATATTTTTACCTTCTTGGAAATGGAAAGACTTATATAGGCTCTATGTTGAATTATTGTTTACATTTTTATTGACGTTATAAAAGTGTTAATTTGCGCTACGAAAGTAGACAAATTCTAATGCCGCATTTCCATGGAGACTTACAGTTGAAGTCGGAAGATTACGTACACTTTGGTTGGAGTCATTAAAACTAGTTTTTCAACCACTCCACAAATTTCTTGTTAACAAACTATAGTTTTGGCAAGTCGGTTAGGACATCTACTTTGTGCATGACACAAGTCATTTTTCCAACAATTGTTTGCAGACAGATTATTTCACTTATAATTCACTGTATCACAATTCCAGTGGGTCAGAAGTTTACATACACTAAGTTGACTGTGCCTTTAAACAGCTTGGAAAATTCCAGAAAATTATGTAATGGCTTTAGAAGCTTCTGATAGACTAATTGACATCATTTGAGTCAATTGGAGGTGTACCTGTGGATTTATTTCAAGGCCTACCTTCAAACTCGGTGCCTCTTTGCTTGACATCATGGGAAAATCAAAAGAAATCAGCCAAGACCTCAGAAAAAAAATTGTAGACCTCCACAAGTCTGGTTCATCCTTGGGAGCAATTTCCAAACGCCTGAAGGTACCACGTTCATCTGTACAAACAATAGTACACAAGTATAAACACCATGGGACCACGAAGCCGTCGAAGACGTGTTCTGTTTCCTAGAGATGAACGTACTTTGGTGCGAAAAGTGCAAATCAATCCCAGAACAACAGCAAAGGACCTTGTGAAGATGCTGGAGGAAACAGGAACAAAAGTATCTATATCCACAGTAAAACGAGTCCTATATTGACATAACCTGAAAGGCCACTCAGCAAGGAAGAAGCCACTGCTCCAAAACCGCCATAAAAAAAGCCAGACTATGGTTTGCAACTGCACATGGGGACAAGGATCGTACTTTTTGGAGAAATGTCCTCTGGTCTGATGAAAAATAACTGTGTGGCCATAATGATCATCGTAATGTTTGGAGGAAAAAGGGGGTGCTTGCAAGCCGAAGAACACCATCCCAACCGTGAAGCACAGGGGGTGGCAGCATCATGCTGTGGGGGTGCTTTGCTGTAGGAGGGACTGGTGCACTTCACAAAATAGATAGCATCATGAGGAAGGAAAATTGTGTGGATATTTTGAAGCAACATCTCAAGACATTGGGTTTTCCAAATGGACAATGACCCCAAGCATACTTCCAAAGTTGTGGCAAAATGACTTCAGGACAACAAAGTCAAGTTATTGAAGTGGCCATCACAAAGCCCTGATCTCAATCCTATAGAAAATGTGTGGGCAGAACTGGAAAAGCATGTGCGAGCAAGGAGGCCTACAAACCTGACTCAGTTACACCAGCTCTGTCAGGAGGAATGGGCCAAAATTCACCCAACTTATTGTGGGAAGCTTGTGGAAGGCTACCCGAAACGTTTAACCAAGTTAAACAATTTAAAGGCAATGCTACCAAATACTAATTGAGTGTATGTAAACTTCTGATCCACCGGGAATGTGATGAAAGAAATAAAAGCTGAAATAAATCATTCTCTCTACTATTATTCTGACATTTCACATTCTTAAAATAAAGTGGTGATCCTAACTGACCTAAGACAGGGAATTTTTACTAGGATTAAATGTCAGGAATTGTGAAAAACTAAGTTTTTAAATGTATTCGGCTAAGGTGTATGTAAACTTCCGACTTCAACTGTACCTTATTGGGGATTTATTATTCTCCTAATTGATGGGATGACTAACTTAGAAAGAATGCATTCTTGACTGGGCTAATGTAGGTTGTGTCACCTGGCAAGCTGTGATTGATGTGAAGAGCTGTTTTCGGGGGTAAAATGAGATAAGGATTTGTGTCTCCAAATGCTAGACTATACTGGTTCTTTGTGATCTGTGAACTATCCTTGGACGTAGGAATGGTGTCTAGGGGAGCTGGCTCTTCTCACTATGACAGGTTGTTATGATAAACGTATGCCTGGTAACAGAAGAGGCAGGGAACAGCCGGTGCGCCAACGGATAGGCTGAGTAAGTCTAAACCACGCTCAAGTCTCTACTCTGATTGGCCAGCAGAGAGGTGGGAAACTCTCTCTGTAAGAGTATTTGAAGAACAATCTGAAACAATGGATTTAGTTCTCTGAAGTGCCCTGCGGGGTATTTCGAAGAGCCCGTATATACGAAACATCATATTTACCATTGAAGGTTTTTGCATTAATTAAAATAACTAGTATATCTTAGAAGTCGTGTTGACCTCTTTTGTTCCTAATGCCAGATTTGAATTGACGCAACTTTGACAACCTCCACAACAGTGTGTCGCCAGTGTTTTATGTTAATGTTAAATCTAGTGCAGTTGTGTTTCCATAGCTCGGGCTGACAGTGAGACTTGTGAAGAACAGAATCAACAACCTCTGCATAATCAGAATAGTTGTTTTGTGAGGTGTTAAAGTTGGACATTGTTATGTAAATGCAGGTTGAAAAGTACCAGTGGCCCAAGGTAGGGCAGGTCCGCCGGAGCCACGGCTCAGTGAGACAGGGGTGCCGGCCTGCGTAGATGAAAACAGAAAAGTCAGAGTCTTTTGGGTAAAACCAGAAAGGAAGAGGCGAATCAAGAGGTTTTATTCAACCCAAAATAAGCCCACGAAGTGAGACATTTTTGAATCCTCCAACCTATCAGAGCTCTTGCAGCATGAACTGACATGTTGTCCACCCAATCAAAGGAGAGAATGAATCTAGTACAGAAGCATAAGCTACAGCTAGCTAGCACTGCACTGCATAAAATATGGTGAGTAGTTGACTCAAAGAGAGAGAGAAAATAACTGAACAGTTTTTAACTAATTAATTTCTTCCCAAATGAAGGAGAAGCAAGAGAGCGATAGAGAAATAGATTCCGTGATTTTTTTTAAACTTTCAGTCTCACTTACTTAGCTAGCAAATGCAGCTAGCTAGTTTAGCCTACTCAAACACCCGGCTCAAACAGAGGGATGCTACGTTAGCTAGCTGGCTATGACTATCCAACACAACACTGGAACTCTTCCAAGTCAAATCAAATCAAATAAAAAATATTTTTCCACATGTGCCGAATACAACAGGTGAAGACATTACCGTGAAATGCTTACTTACAGCCCTTAACCAACAGTGCATTTTTTTTTTAATAAAAAGGTAAAATAAAACAACAACAACAAAAAAGTGTTGAGAAAAAAAGAGCAGAAGTAAAATAAAATAACAGTAGGGAGGCTATATATACAGGGGGGTACCGGTGCAGAGTCAATGTGCTGGGGGCACCGGCTAGTTGAGGTAGTTGAGGTAGTAGAGGTAATATGTACATGTGGGTAGAGTTAAAGTGACTATGCATAAATAATTAACAGAGTAGCAGCAGCGTAAAAAAGATGGGGTGGGGGGTGGGGGGGCAGTGCAAATAGTCCATGTAGCCATGATTAGCTGTTCAGGAGTCTTATGGCTTGGGGGTAGAAGCTGTTGAGAAGCCTTTTGGACCTATACTTGGCGCTCTGGTACCGCTTGCCGTGCGGTAGCAGAGAGAACAGTCTATGACTAGGGTGGCTGGAGTCTTTGACAATTTGTAGGGCCTTCCTCTGACACCGCCTGGTATAAAGGTCCTGGATGGCAGGAAGCTTGGCCCCAGTGATGTACTGGGCCGTACGCACTACCCTCTGTAGTGCCTTGTGGTCGGAGGCCGAGCAGTTGCCATACCAGGCGGTGATGCAACCAGTCAGGATGCTCTCGATGGTGCAGCTGTAGAACTTTTTGAGGATCTGAGGACCCATGCCAAATCTTTTCAGTCTCCCGAGGGGGGAATAGGCTTTGTCGTACCCTCTTCACAACTGTCTTGGTGTGTTTGGATCATGATACTTTGTTGGTGATGTGGACACCAAGGAACTTGAAGCTCTCAACCTGTTCCACTACAGCCCCGTCAAGGTAAGCTTTTGGTTTTACTAGTTTATTGCCACCTGGGGCCCGCCAGTGTCAGTGCTAAACTGCTTACTGACTGTACACTGTAATGTTACTGCATGATTGGAGCGGGTTTACTAACACATTAGTTATTTTAGCTATGTTGATTATGACGTTACTTTATCTGTGGTGACAATTATGTAGGCTGTGTGTAGCGGTCATGATATAAAGGTTTTTTCACCTGGTCACATACAGCTGATGTGTTGTTCATTGAAGTCCACAAGCGAAGGGAAAAGGTGAGAGGAGGAGAGCGCATAGATTCGAGAAGGAATTACACAACGTGGCTGCTATGAAAGTGAACCGCGTTAAAGCGTAATCAGGGGTGTATTCATTCCGCCGATTCTGTTGAAAAACGTTTCTTAAACGGAAGCAAACGGAACAAAACGGGGATTAACATACCTGAATTTGTCCAATAGAAACTCTCGTTTGCAACTGTTGGACTAATGATTACACCCTACATCAGCTAGATGCAGGCAAGAGTGTGCAACATCAGTCCGTCAGGCCATGTGTCACTGTCTGTCACCTCAACATTTTCTCTCGACCTGTGTGCTCCTACGTTGTAAACTTTCATTCATAGGCTGGTTTGTAGCAATCTCATGATGGGTATAGGAAAAATGTGAGTATCATGTAGTAGCCTAAACCTATCGCTTTTACACTGAACTGGGTGAATGGAATATGAATGACAGTCATCCAATATGCTGTACTAGAAATAAGGACATGCTCATGAAAACTAAAAGGTGTCCTACCTCATCTTAAACTGTATCGACCGCCACTGGCCCATACCATAACCCCACCACCACCACCATGGGGCACTCTGTCACACCTCATCTTAAACTGTATCGACCGCCACTGGCCCATACCATAACCCCACCACCACCACCATGGAGCACTCTGTCAACGCCACTGGCCCATAGCATAACCCCACCACCACCACCATGGGGCACTCTGTCAACGCCACTGGCCCATACCATAACCCCACCACCACCACCACCATGGGGCACTCTGTCAACGCCACTGGCCCATACCATAACCCCACCACCACCACCATGGGGCACTCTGTCCACGCCACTGGCCCATACCATAACCCCACCACCACCACCACCATGGGGCACTCTGTCAACGCCACTGGCCCATACCATAACCCCACCACCACCACCACCATGGGGCACGCTGTCAACGCCACTGGCCCATACCATAACCCCACCACCACCACCACCATGGGGCACTCTGTCCACGCCACTGGCCCATACCATAACCCCACCACCACCACCACGGGGCACTCTGTCCACGCCACTGCCCCATACCATAACCCCACCACCACCATGGGGCACTCTGTCACACCTCATCTAAACTGTATCGACCGCCACTGGCCCATACCATAACCCCACCACCACCACCATGGGGGCACTCTGTCACAACCTCATCTTAAACTGTATCGACCGCCACTGGCCCATACCATAACCCCACCACCACCACCATGGGGCACTCTGTCAACGCCACTGGCCCATACCATAACCCCACCACCACCACCATGGGGCACTCTGTCAACGCCACTGGCCCATACCATAACCCCACCACCACCACCACCATGGGGCACTCTGTCCACGCCACTGGCCCATACCATAACCCCACCACCACCACCATGGGGCACTCTGTCAACGCCACTGGCCCATACCATAACCCCACCACCACCACCATGGGGCACTCTGTCAACGCCACTGGCCCATACCATAAACCCCACCACCACCCACCATGGGGCACTCTGTCAACGCCACTGGCCCATACCATAACCCCCACCACCACCACCATGGGGCACTCTGTCAACGCCACTGGCCCATACCATAACCCCACCACCACCACCATGGGGCACTCTGTCACACCTCATCTTAAACTGTATCGACCGCCACTGGCCCATACCATAACCCCACCACCACCACCATGGGGCACTCTGTCAACGCCACTGGCCCATACCATAACCCCACCACCACCACCATGGGGCACTCTGTCAACGCCACTGGCCCATACCATAACCCCCACCACCACCACCATGGGGCACTCTGTCAACGCCACTGGCCCATACCATAAACCCCACCACCACCACCACCATGGGGCACTCTGTCAACGCCACTGGCCCATACCATAACCCCAACCACCACCACCATGGGGCACTCACACTCATCTTAAACGCCACTGGCCCATACCATACCCCACCCACCACCACCATGGGGCACTCTGTCACACCTCATCTTAAACTGTATCGACCGCCACTGGTCCATACCATAACCCCACCACCACCACCATGGGGCACTCTGTCACACCTCATCTTAAACTGTATCGACCGCCACTGGCCCATACCATAACCCCACCACCACCACCATGGGGCACTCTGTCAACGCCACTGGCCCATACCATAACCCCACCACCACCACCATGGGGCACTCTGTCCACGCCACTGGCCCATACCATAACCCCACCACCACCACCATGGGGCACTCTGTCCACGCCACTGGCCCATACCATAACCCCACCACCACCACCATGGGGCACTCTGTCAACGCCACTGGCCCATACCATAACCCCACCACCACCACCATGGGGCACTCTGTCAACGCCACTGGCCCATACCATAACCCCAACCACCCACCACCATGGGGCACTCTGTCCACGCCACTGGCCCATACCATAACCCCACCACCACCACCATGGGGCACTCTGTCAACGCCACTGGCCCATACCATAACCCCACCACCACCACCCATGGGGCACTCTGTCAACGCCACTGGCCCATACCATAACCCCACCACCACCACCATGGGGCACTCTGTCAACGCCACTGGCCCATACCATAACCCCCACCACCACCAACCATGGGGCACTCTGTCAACGCCACTGGCCCATACCATAACCCCACCACCACCACCATGGGGCACTCTGTCAACGCCACTGGCCCATACCATAACCCCACCACCACCACCATGGGGCACTCACACCTCATCTTAAACGCCACTGGCCCATACCATAACCCCACCACCACCACCATGGGGCACTCTGTCAACGCCACTGGCCCATACCATAACCCCACCACCACCACCATGGGGCACTCTGTCCACGCCACTGGCCCATACCATAACCCCACCAACCACCACCATGGGGCACTCTGTCAACGCCACTGGCCCATACCATAACCCCACCACCACCACCATGGGGCACTCTGTCAACGCACTGGCCCATACCATAAACCCCACCACCACCACCATGGGGGCACTCTGTCAACGCCACTGGCCCATACCATAACCCCACCACCACCACCATGGGGCACTCTGTCAACGCCACTGGCCCATACCATAACCCCACCACCACCACCATGGGGCACTCTGTCAACGCCACTGGCCCATACCATAACCCCACCACCACCACCATGGGGCACTCTGTCAACGCCACTGGCCCATACCATAACCCCACCACCACCACCACGGGGCAACTCTGTCAACGCCACTGGCCCATACCATAACCCCACCACCACCACCAACGGGGCACTCTGTCCACGCCACTGGCCCAACCATAACCCCACCACCACCACCATGGGGCACTCTGTCAACGCCACTGGCCCATACCATAACCCCACCACCACCACCACCATGGGGCACTCTGTCCACGCCACTGGCCCATACCATAACCCCACCACCACCACCATGTCAACGCCACTGGCCCATACCATAACCCCACCACCACCACCATGTCAACGCCACTGGCCCATACCATAACCCCACCACCACCACCATGGGGCACTCTGTCAACGCCACTGGCCCATACCATAACCCCACCACCACCACCACGGGGCACTCTGTCCACGCCACTGATCTGCAGCCATCGACATCATCGAGCTACGCACATCTGATGTGCTGTCGTTTGTCTATTGGCACAGATTCAACTACAGAATAAACTACAGATCAACTGGAACCATTTACTTTTATTCTTTATTACACAACAGCAGAGATAGTAAAGACCTCCCGAGTGGCGCAGTGGTCTAAGGCACTGCATCGCAGTGCTAGCTGTGCCACTAGAGATCCTGGTTCGAATCCAGGCTCTGTCGTAGCCATGGGGCGGCGCACAATTGGCCCAGCGTCGTCCAGGGTAGGGGAGGGAATGGCTGGCATGAATGTAGCTCAGTTGGTAGAGCATGGCGTTTGCTGTAAGTCGCTCTGGATAAGAGCGTCTGCTAAATGACTAAAATGTAAATGTAAAGATCACATCTGTTACACGGAACGGCGTCTAGGACACCACAGCTCGTCGGTCCTTGTCATGGATGGGTTATTGCAGCAGACGACCACACCGGGTTCCACTCCTATCAACTAAAAACAAGAAGAAGCGGCTCCAGTGGACACGCCATCACCAACACTGGACAACTGAGGAGTGGAAAAACATTGCCTGGTCCGACGAATCCCGGTTCCTGTTGCGTCATGCTGATGGCAGAGTCAGGATTTGGCGTAAGCAGCATGAGTCCATGGCCCCATCCTGCCTGGTGTCAACGGTACAGATTGGTGGCGGTAGTGGAATGGTGTGGGGAATGGCCCCATCCTGTCTGGTGTCAACGGTACAGATTGGTGGCGGTGGTGTAATGGTGTGGGGAATGGCCCCATCCTGTCTGGTGTCAACGGTACAGATTGGTGGCGGTAGTGGAATGGTGTGGGGAATGTTTTCCTGGCACGTGTTAGGTCCCTTGATAACAATTGATCAACGTTTGACCCGAATAATTGTACAGTACTGGAGGCAAAGGGGGGTCCGACCCGGTACAAGATATTTAGTCAGCAAACTCAATGTATTTATGTCGTACAACTACTCAATCAATCACACATGTACATATACTTCAACTTACTTACACTGATTGCCTCCTCTGAAACTGGTACCCCCCTGTTTTTTTAAAACCCCCCTTTTTTAAAAAAACCCCTTTTTTTTTTTTTTTTAAAAAAAAAAACCCCCCCCGGGGGCCCCTTTTTCCCCCCGGGCCCCCCCCCCCAAAAAAAATTTTTTTTTCCCAAAATTTTTCCCCCTTTTCCCACAAAAAAAGGGGGGGGGGGGGGAAAAAGGGAAAAAAAAAAAAAACCCCCCCTTTTTTTCCCCTTTTTTTTTTTTTCCCCCCCCCCCCTCCCCCCCCCCTTTTTTTTTTTCCCCCCCTTTTTCCTTTCCCCCCCCTTTTCCTTTTTTCCCCCCCCTTCCCCCCCCCCCCCCCCAAAAAAAGGGAAAACCCCTTTTTTTTTTTTTTTAAAAAAAAAAAATTTTTAAAACCCCCCCTTAAAAAAAGGAAAGGGGGAAATTTTTTTGGGGAACCCTTTGGGAAAAAAATGGTTCCCCCTTTTTTTCCCCCCCCCCTTTTTCCCCCCAAAAAAAAAAAGGGGGGTTTGGGGAAAAAACCCCAAAAAAAAAAAATTTTAAAAATTTTTGGGGCCCTTTTGGTCTTAAAAATTTTTAAAGGGGGTTTCCCCCCCCCCCCCCCCCCCCCCGGGGGGGGGGGCCCCCCCCCCCCCCCCCCCCCTTTTTTTTTTTTTTTCCCCCCCCCCCCCTTTCCCGGGCCCCCCCCCCCCTTTTTTTTTGGGGGGGGGGTTTTTTTTTCCCCCCTTTTCCCCCTTTTTTTTTTCCCCCCCCCTTTTCCCCCGGGGCCGGGGGTCCCCGGGCCCCCCTTTCCCCCAAATTTTTTTTTTCCCCCCTTTTTTTTTTCCCCCCCGGTTTTCCCCCCCCCCCCCCTTTTTCCCCCCCTTTTTATTTTTTTTTTCCCCCTTTTTTTTCCCCCTTTTTTTTTTCCCCCCCCTTTTTGGGGGCCCCCGGGGGTTTTTTTTTTTAAAAAAATTGGGCCCCCCGGGGCCCAAAAATTTTTTTTTTCCCGGTCTTTTTAAAACCCTTTTTCCGGGTTTTTTTTTTTCCCCCGGGGGGGGGCCCCCCGGGGGGTGGGGGGGAAAGGGGGGGGGGGGGCCCCCCCCCAAAAGGGGAAGGGGGGGGGGGGAAAGGGGGCCCCCGGGGTAAAAAGGGAAGGGGGGAAAAGGGGGGGAAAGGGGGGGGGGGGGGGGGTTGGGGGGGGGGGGCCCGGGGGGGGGGGGGGAAAAAAACCCCCTTTTCCCCCCCCCCCCAATAAAAACCCCCCTTTTTTTTTCCCCCCCCCCCCCTTTTTTTTAAAAGGGGTTTTTTTAAAAAAAAGGGGGGCCCCCCCCCCTTTTTTTTTTTTTTTGGGTTTTCCCCCCCAAAGGGTTTTGTACCCCCCGGGGGGGGGGGGGGGTTTTGGGGTTCCGGGAAAAAATTTTTTCCCCGGGGGCCCCAAAAACCCTTTTTAAAAAAAATTTTTTTTTTGGGGGTTTTTGGGGGTTTTTTTAAAAAAAAGGGGTTTTTTTTT